AAATAATGTTGGTTCTATGCAAATTCTTTAAGAATATTTAGAAAAAAATATTTCCCGATTCTTCTTACAAAGCGAGCAGTACCATACAGTACAAAGACAAAGACATACAAGACTACAAAAATAGAAAATTACATTCTAATATGTCACATAAATATAGGAAGAAAAAATTTTAACAAAATCAAATTCAACAATATATAAAAGGATTAATACATCATAACCATGTGGAATTTATCCCTGAATATGAATGTTGGTTAAACATTCAAAAAATAATCTGTTGAATCCCATCACATTGTACCTCATAATAATATAAAATCATTATTTGCCAATTTAAAAAGACATAAAAATTAAAAACCATTGTGCTTCAAAAGAAAAACATTCAATTCATGTCACTGAATTCTATTAGTAAATTTTAAAAAACCAAAACTATGTAATAATCTCAATAGATGTTAAAAAATCATTCAACACATTCATTACCCATTCATGATAAAGAAAAAAGAACTCTCAACAAACTAGGGATAGAAAAGAATGTCCTCAAACTGCTAAAGGGCATTCATAAAAATCCTACAGCTAGCATCATACTTAATGATAAAAGGCTAAATGTTCACTCACTAAGAACAAAAACAAGTAAAGACATTAACTCTCATCACTACTGTTCAATATTATACTGGAAGTCTTAGCCAGTACAATAAAAAAGAAAAGAAAAGAGGTAGGTAGTATGGGTAAAGTATGAGTAGAGTATGGGAAGTAAAGTAAAGTAGAGTATGGGAAAGGAGTAATTAAGAAGAAAATGGCTCATTATAACATCATGCAAGGTAAAAAATTTATGTAAAATAATACATATTTGGTAGGTGTATTTCTGCAAACTAGTTCAACCTCTGTGGAAAGCAATATGGAGATACCTTAAAGCAATACAAGTGAATCTACCATTTGATCCAGCAATCCCATTGCTGGGCATCTACCCAAAAGATCCAATGACACTCTACAAAAAAGACACCTGCACTCGAATGTTTATAGCAGCACAATTCATAATTGCAAGGCTGTGGAAACAGCCCAAGTGCCCATCAATCCAAGAATGGATTAATAAAATGTGGTATATGTATACCATGGAGTACTATTCAGCTCTAAGAAACAATGGTGATATAGCACATCTTATATTTTCCTGGTTGGAGCTGGAACCCATATTACTAAGTGAAGTATCCCAAGAATGGAAAAACAAGCACCAGATATATTCTCCAGCAAACTGGTATTAACTGAGTAGCACCTAAGTGGACACATAGGTGCTACAGTAATAGGGTATTGGGCAGGTGGGAGGGGGGAGGAGGGAGGGGGGTGGGTATATACATACATAATGAGTGAGATGTGCACCATCTGGGGACGAAAGGATTGTTCATCACATGAAAATCAATAATCAATATACCACATTAATAGGATGGAGGACAAAAATCATATGATTATCTCAATAGATGCAGAAAAAGCATTTGACAAAATTTTACATGCTTTTGTGATAAAAAAAAAAAAACTTAACAAATAGGTTTAAAAGGAATGTACCTATCACAGTAATGACCATTATGACAAGCTGACAGCTAACATCATAGTCAATGGTAAAATGCAGAAAGCTTTTCCTCTACGTTTAGGAAAAAAAGATAAGAATGTCCAGTTTTACTAGTTATATTCAACATAGTAATGGAAGTCCTAGACAGAGCAATTAGGCAAAGTAAGAACAAAAAGCATCCAAATTGTAAAGGAAGAAGAAAACTTGGCTGTTTGGGAATAACATGATCTCATATATAGACAACCCTAAAGACTCCACCAGAAAAATGTTAGAACTAATAAACTCAGTCAAGTTGTAGGATACAAAATCAACATACAAAAAGCACTGCAATTTCTACATTAACAATGAAGTATCCAAACCAGAAATTCAGTAAACAATCACAGAAATTAAGTAAATAATCACATTTACAATAAAATACTTAAAAGAATAAATTTAAGCAAAGGTGAAAGATTTATACCCAGAAAACTATAAAACATTGATGAAAGAAATTTAAGATGCCACAAATAAATGGAAAGATATCCCGTATTCATGGATTGGAAGAATTAGTATTGTTAAAATGTCCATATTACCAAAAATGTTCTACAGATTCAATGTAATTTCCATCAAATTCCAATGATATTTTTCACAATAGGAAAAAAATTATAAAATTCAAATAAAACCACAAAGATAGCAAATAGCCAAAAGAATCTTTAGAAAAAGGAACAATGCTGGAGGCATCATACTTTCTGATTTTAAACTATATTACAAAGCTATAATAATCAAAACAACAAGGTGCCAGTATAAAAATAGATATCAATGGAGCAGAATACAGACCCTGGAAATAAACCCAGACATATAAGGTTAACTGATCTTTGACTCACATACCAGGAATAAATAATGAGGAGGAGAAAATATCTTTAATAAAATATATTTGGAAAATTGGATACCCACATGCATAAGATAAAACTGGATTTTTGTTTTATATCATATATAAAAATCAACTCAAAATGGACTATTTAAATATAAAAACTGAAACTAGAGAAAATATAGGAAATGAGCTCTTTGACATTGGTCTTATCAATAATTTTTTGGATACAGTACCAAAGCACAGACAAGAAAAGCAAAAATGAATAAATGGGACTGCGTCAAACTAAAAAGCTTCTGCACAGCAAAGGAAATGATCAGCAACCTACAGAAAGGAAGAAAATACTTGCAAACTATCTATTGCATAAAGGATTAACATCCAAAATATATAAGGAAATCATAGAACTCAATAACTAAAAAACAACCCAAAAAATTTTGCAAAGGACCTAAATAGACATTTCTCCAAAGAAGGCATGCAAATGGCCAACAAGTATATAAAATGGTGCTCAACATCACTAACTGTCAGAGAAGTCCAAATTAAAACCACAAAGAGATATCACCTCACAACTGTTAGGATAGCTATTACCAAAAATATAAGAGATAAAAATTGTTGGAATGGAATGGATTTGGATCAAAGAGAACCCTTGCACACCATCAGTGAAAATGTAAAATGTTAGAGTCATCATGGGAAACTGTGTGGAGGTTCCTCCAAAAATTAAAAATAAAACTACCAATGATCCAGCAATCTCACTACTAGGTATATATTTGAAGGAAATGAAATCAGTATCTCAGAGGTATCTGTACTCTTGTGCTCTTTTCAGCATTATTCCCAATAGCCAAGATAAGGAAACAAGCTAAGTGTCCATGGATAGATGAATGCATTAAAAATTATGATACACACACATACACATACAATGGAATATTATTCAGCCTTAAAAAAGAAAATTTTGCCATTTGTGACAACATGAATAAACCTAAAGGACATTATAGTAAGTAAATAAATCAGTCACAGAAAGACAAATACTACACATCACTTATATGTGTAAGCTAAAAAAGTTGAACTTATTGAAACAGAGTAGAATAGTGGTTTCCAGTATAAAATCTCAATTTAAATAATTTTACTACATCAAGTATAATAATTGAAAGTTCATTATAGTCCTATAAATAAACATATAAATTGCTTTAATATAATATATTCCTTAAGACAAATGTAATGGTTTTAATAAAGAATAAGAATTAGGCTCTACATATCTTGACTATACCATTTATTTTCCACATTGTATTATTTTGGGAGAGTGGAGTATTTCAACCTCATTACACAAATTTTAGTTTGGCTTACAGGAAGAGATTACTAATATGTCCTCAAAAGAAAATAGAATTTAGAAAGCTAATTTCTAACCATTAAATATTCATGAACATTATAAAGTAACTATGTAATGGTTTAAAAATAAAATATAATTAGATAATGAAAAAATAAAAGATAGAAAACAATTAAAAATATAACAATCATATCAATTTTAGTTACTATTTACTAAGGTCTATAGATGAGGCCATTTTCCCTTCAATTGTAATTTGAATAAAACAAGTACAATCTGATCAATATTTCTGTATGAATCTTAGGAAATAAAATTATATATCTGCAATATCAAACTTTTTAAATCTTATATGGAAATATATCTGGCATTATTCTGACTGTATCAGAATCTAAATCAATCACATTGCAATAAAGAAATAAATGCCTCAAATTAATTTCCATACCAAAGTTTACTGAGCAGTAATTTATACTAATACTTCTTAAACAGTTATGTAATTACTTTAATTTAGGTGTTAAATCAACCTTACAAACAAGAAGAAAAATATTTCCAGTAAACATGATTTTAAAAATCACTCTCTTCCTACAAATGATATATAGAAATTAATATAAATAAAACTTGCAAACACTTCTAGTCACAGAGCATAAGCTGTAATTTATTAATTTAAGGGGAAGGCATAATCTATGAATCAAAATTTTAAAACATAAAAGTCTTGAACAGGGCTATTCAAATACCTCATGTAAATTCAATCTAATCAATCAGTCATAAAGAAATGAATAAATGAGCAAATCCCAGCATCTCAATACATAGGCTTTTCTTTCATGAAAGCATAAAGTCATAACATAAATCTTGACTACTTAAGATAGAAAGAACAAGCCAATTGTTTTCTAAAAAGAATCTGAAGTCTTCAGCAGCCTACTACTAACCACAAAAAAATGAAACATACAACATATATACAAGATAGGATTAGAAATCAATGATGAGAAGTAGTGGGTCTTAAAGAGGTAACTTAAATATTACTAATCCTAAATCATTGAAAACGTAATTACGTTCATGTATATTAAAGCAAAAATAATATTACTAAAACAGCAAATAATTTCAAATGGAGTTGTAAGAAAAGAGACAGTCATTATCACATACATTCATAAACCTTTTTAATCAAGAGTCAATACATGTTTTTGTATCATTCAAGTCAAGAAATGCAAATATACCATCCCTTTGGACAAAAACAGGATTCTTTTTGTAATGAAAATACTTGATGGTCATTAGAAGTAAATACTCTTAACACTTACCTGTATTTTAATAGGCCAGGAAAAGTTGCTGACATACACATAGAATGTAATGTTAGGATTGCTTCTAAAGTTAAATTTTTCATAGGAGAAACTATCTCTGTATTCCTTTATATTTGTCTTAGAAATTATAGGAATCTCCTCCCCAGATATTGTTCCAGCTAAAATGTAAACAATAATGACAAATTTAAATAATTAATATTAGGAAATATATCCTTATGAACTTAAAAATACTACATTTAGTTTAGATTTTTTATAATTGCTCTTATAAAAATGTAATTATCAAAATATATTCATGTTTATAATTTTAAATGAAAAATAAATAAAATAAGTTTGCCATAAATATAATGGAAATAGAGTTAGCATAAAATTATTTTTAATAATACTACAACTGATTTAAGTGCTGTGTACTAAGGCACTGGCTTAGAGACTTCATATTCTTTTCTATAATAACAATTCTATCCCAGAGGTGTTACCATGTCTACTTTTCAAATTAGAACCTGAGCCTCAGAAAGATTAAAACACCTGTCCAAAGTTTTTAGCTACTAAGCAGTAAACTCCTTTGTACTCAAGTATATATGGCCCTGGAAACTGAGCTCTTTCTACTTACTACTTCACAGGGCATCTAAAAACAAATGAGATCTTATTTTCATGTGTCTCAATCCAATTAAAAAATGGAAAAGAAATCAATTTCTTAGTCTTACCACAAATTGAACCATTACTACTTTAAATAAAGAGGGTGGAGGTCATAATTTAAAACATGAACTAAATCCTCAATTAGTTAAACACATATTGGGCACTCAATAAATATGGAATGAAGTTAAGCAAATGGAACAAAGCATTTCCAACAACCTTAGCAAGACCTCCACTTTAATAAACAGTAAAAATAATTAGAATTAGTATACGGAGGCCAGGAGGGGTATCTCATGACTGTAAACCTAGCACTCTGGGAGGCTGAGGCAGGAGGATTGCTGGAGAACAGGAGTTTGAGACCAGCCTGAGCAAGAGTGAGACCCAGTCTCCTAAAAATAGAAAAAATTAGCTTAGCATGGTGCTGTGCACCTGTAGTTCCAGCTACTCAGGAGGCTGAGGCAGGAGGATTGCTTGAGCTGAGGAGTTTGAAGTTACTTATCACAGCACTCTAGCCCAGGCAACAGAATTATACTCTGTCTTAAAAAACAAAAAAAAACAACCAAACAAACAAACAGAGATTCTGAGTATTTAAAAAAAAAAAAAAAAAAAAAACCCGATCTCAAAACATTATAAATTAAAATAAAATATAAAAAATTTTTAAAAATTTAAAAGAAGAATTAGTATACTGAGTAATTTAATTAATTATTTACTGACCACCTATTCCAAAATTATCTTATATGCTTTTTTAAAATACAGTTCCATGACCTATCTCCCAAACTGATAAATCAAAATTTCTGAGATTTGGTTCTAAAAATTTGAAAAAATATGTAATTTTTGCATATAAAAATTACTGTTCTAAAGTAATTGGAAATTTTTATATAGAAATGTATATTTTTTACAGATATATTTTAAAACTCTTGTAGAGTTTTTTATTGGTCAGAAATAAATTCCAAATTAACAGGGCAAGTTATCATGATTTATTAATGAGATACACAGCACCAATAATTCATTATATGTTTGGTGCTATATTACAAAATATCTGTATATTTGCCTGAACTTCTCATTTTTCACATGTAGTGCAGGTTCTAGAATAGCAAAAGATCTCTTAATCCTTGAATTCTATGTATCCATGATTCTACATATTAAAATAGTATAACTTAATTCTCAGAAATAAAACAAACTTATAAATTCATAAATTTTCTATATAAAAAGCAATATCTAGCACATTTATGCAAGAATATATCTTTGATATAGAAAATGGAAAGCAATAGGTTTTACTAAGACATAAGTATAAAAAGCATACATTTTCATAATTCAACATGAAGATTGGAACTCAGTTATGTTTTTAAAAAGTCAATAATTCCAGTTTATTAACATTATGGAAAATATTATAAAGGATTTTTAGCCACTCTTAGCACTAAAGCTGACAAGAAAGAGTATGTTTCTAGGTTTGAAAATAATAGATAAGTTGTTACTTTGATCAGCATGCACAGAAGAATTCTATTATTTTCTATAAATACTAAGGTTAACAATTAAATTTATAGCTTCAATAGTGAATGAAGTAATTAAAATCTCAGTCTCTTTAGTCAATAAAGAAGTTATCTATCTTAATTAACATCTCAGCATTTCATATCACGGCCATTTTAAAATAATTCAGTGAATATTAGTTACCCATGTAATTTTAATTGAATAAAGGAGAAAGTTAACAAAGTAATGAAGTTTTATCCATTTTTCTGGTTCTTGTTTTTATCAATAACAGCACAAAGCTTATGGCATATAATATTTTAAATTTTTCATTTATTTAACAGCAAAAGGTCATGTTAGAACAGCTTCCAGATAGAAACACAAGTGAAAGAGACATGACACCAAAATTTTTTTACCTGTTGAGCCAACAGACCATGTAATATTCAGATTAAAGTTGTTTGATGCATTAATTGATATATCCAAATTTTTGTTTGACTACCAAGAAAGAAAAGATTAAAGTCAAAAAATACAAATTACACTAGATAGATATGATTTAAGTCTACTAATTTATATCCATATTATATTTCTTAAACTATATATTTTATAAATATTCAACTGACTATATATAGATGCCATTTATACTTACATTTTAATGAAAAAATGTACAATAAATTCAAAGGTAGATTTAAATTTCTCATTTATCTTCTCTTTTAATTTGGCCTTTTGCATATAAGCCACAGGCTACTGTAATTTGATATTTTTATTTTTATTCTATTTGCTTACTTAAAATTAGTATTTAAATGATATGGGTTTAGATTAGTCCTAAGTCATTTTATAGCAATATAAGATTGTTTTATTGAAAGACTTCTTGTCAAATGCAAACATATTTTCTAGTGGAAAAATACTTTAAATACATAAACTAAAACTTTCAGGGGAAAATGAAGAACCTACTCTAGAAAAAAGAGCAAATCACATTATTTAAACAGCTAAACAGAGGAACACTGAAGAATTTAATATGATGTCATTCAACCTACTTTTTGTCATTCATTAGTAGAGTACAGACTCCATTTTATTTCAGGGAAACAAATGTCTATGAGATTTCGTTAAATGTTATTTGTTATTTTCTTACTCCAAGAGGTGAGGAACAGAAAGCAGGAATGATTATATTTAATAACTATGTGCAAAGGCAAAAAATGATAGTCATATTGGAAAAACCTAGCTTCAGACATTGAGTGTATTATGATGTATTTTAAATATACAAAGACCTGTAGAAAAATCTATACTGCTAAGTGAGACCTGGCTACTGAGTAAGAGAGAGAAAGAGAGAGAAAGGATATATTAATTCCTTGGTATTACTATTTTTTTTCTAATTATGATGAAGCAGGTAAGTGAATAGAAAATATATCCCCAATATTCTGAGTGGCTCTTAGGAGAAAATAAATATGTAAGTAATCAAATTCCCCATTTTTGACATCACAGTCTTAAGAGGATACCGACTGAAGGAAATGGCCCTTCCATGATGGATAGGAGTAGAGAGGAGCACCATAAAAAGTCAAAGGCTCCTGGACGATGTGTCACTGAGGCTTAGGGTACATCCCCTTTGAATGATGTACAATAAACCCCAATCTTATACCTCCAAATAATATTCACTCTTTTTTTTGTATTTTTTTTTAATTTCAGAATATTATTGGGGTACAAATGGTTAGGTTACATATATTGCCTTTGCCCTGCCCAAGTCAGAGCTACAAGCGTGTCCAGCCCCCATACAGTGAGCATTGCTCTTAATGATTTCCCTACATGGAGGACAGCTTAGCCTCTGTGAGGAACTATCAACAGTGTTCCAAATCCCTCAAATGATATTCTCCTCACAGTTTCCTAAAAGCAAATATGATTTCAAGAAGAACGATAATCTTGAAAGAACATGGAAAATAAAATTTGTTATAATAAGGTTTAATGACTGTCATAAATATTCTTCAGGGTTGTACTCATTCATATTGCAGAGATAGCATCTGAGAATTTAAAGTAATCAAAGAAAAATAAAGCCGTAGAATTTAAATATATACCGTAAGTCAGAAGGATACTACATGATCCATCATAGTCATATTCACAAATGGCCATGAGTGTAAGAAGGAAGTTATTAGCATGTTTTGAATTCATGGAGTTTATTTTTAAATAAGCATATTCTGAGTTGAAATGTGTAATTATAAGCATAAAGTCTTTTTTAAGAATATATATAGAGAAATTATGTATAATCTAAATTATAGGACTGTTTGCAAAATATGCCATTTTAAACTCACAAATTCTCTGAATCACAAGGATACCTAAGTTTTGTGAAAAGAAAAAATTAACAGAATTAGTCTTTTCTGCAAAAGTCCTACAACAATTCTGAGAAGAGAAAAATCTCAATGAAAAATGACAGAAAAGTTGTATCCATTGAAAGTAGTATAATTACATTGTAAAAGATAATGATGTCTCCTTACCTGTTCTGGGTTAGCTATAAAGTTTATGGCAGTGTGGTGGCGATCATCTTCTTGTAATAAGCTGAAGGTAAACTGATAGTCAATCAAAAGGCTGTCTGTGGGGAACAAAAAAAGTAGAATCCTGATACGTACTTTAAAAAACTGTCGGAAAAACAAAAGTTAGGTGAAAATATATTGCATGTTAGTATTGAAAATGATTATCAATAAATACTAATGGCCTATTCAATACTAGCAAAATATAAATATTTGTCATCAAAAAAGTACAAAACAAAGATATGGAAGAAGTCCTAATTCTTTTTTTTTTTTTTTTTTTTTTTTTTTTGAGACAGAGTCTCGTTTTGTTGTCCAGGCTAGAGTGAGTGCCGTGGTGTCAGCCTAGCTCACAGCAACCTCAAACTCCTGGGCTCCAGCGATCCTTCTGCCTCAGCCTCCCGAGTAGCTGGGACTACAGGCATGCGCCACCATGCCCGGCTAATTTTTTATATATATATATCAGTTGGCCAATTAATTTCTTTCTATTTATAGTAGAGACGGGGTCTCGCTCTTGCTCAGGCTGGTTTTGAACTCCTGACCTTGAGCAATCCGCCCGCCTCGGCCTCCCAGAGAGCTAGGATTACAGGCGTGAGCCACCGCGCCCGGCAGAAGTCCTAATTCTTTAAAAATGATATTTATTAATTCTGATATTATTATAAAAATACTAAAAAATGGACATTCTGGAAACTGTACAAAAGAGAATAAAATATTAGTTATCTGTGATCATATAACTAGAGAGAAATACTGTTAACATTTCAGTGTATTTTATTCCTGTTAAAATTCTGTAGATTTAAAGACAGACATTTTCATAAAACTTCATATCTTTCATAAATCAAAATTCTTTGAAAACATGAACTTTAATGGCTAAATATTTCATTATACACCATAATGCATGTACTGTTTTGTTTTCTATTGTGGGCATTTATATTTTTAGTGGTTTTAAAATAATTCTGTGGTAAACATTATTCTACACATGTGATCTTTAGTCACATTGATATTAATAAAAGGAATTCAGGGGAAATTCATTTTTAATTTTATCCATACACAATGCTCAAACCAAGATGAAACATTTAAATTTGGTAGGTCATGAGTGGTTATGCATGTTACATGAGGGTGAAATATTGCTTATGATGTTAAACTGCTACCTTTATAAAAATATTTTAAATTATTTTAAATAAATACAGATGACTTTTATCTTTTGGATACATACCTTTCATGTTATGCCATCAACCATTAAAAACTATTAATTTAAAATGTAAAGATGGAATTACTATAACTGGTTTTATTATAAAAACTATCAAGGCATCATTCATGTTGCTTACTTCCATACTTTATAAGATCCTCTCTATATATTTTTTGTATAATTTAGTAAGGCAACATTTTCTCTTTCTAAGAATTTATAGGCACCCTTATGTCTGACAATGAGAAATGTGCAAGAGATCATATTTCTAATTTTCACCTGACTGCCAAAAATGCAAAGAAAAATTCAATGCACTAGTGTTATTCTAGGCACTGGAGATAGATATAACAACAAAAGATAAAAATGTCTGTCCTCATGCAACTTATATTCTATTGGATGGACATAAGAAATTAATAATTTAAGTATACAGCATATCTGATTATGATAAGTCTTCTGGAGAATAAGTCTTCTTTCTTCAGTGAAAGAAGAGAGAAATTGCTGTCAGAGCAGGAGTAGGAGTATGCTTCTGATTTTGGAAGGAACATTTAAAGATCAAAGATATTAAGAGAATAAGCCAAGGAGTTTACTAGAAAAAAATGTATCCTAGGCAGACAGAACAAGTACAAAAACCTCAAAGCAAGAAGAAGGCTTCACTGTGATTCTCGTAGAGGCTCTGGCAACAGTGCAGGCAAGAGGAGATGGAGGCTAGCATAAGAGCAGTGAAGGTCTTGAGAAGTGGTCAGATACAGGCAATGTATTTGGAAGGTACAGAAAATTGGATTAGCTATGTAAATGGATGTAGGCTTTGAAAAAAAGAAAAGCAAAGGGGTTTTTGTTTGTTTATTTTTGTCCTAACACCAAGTAAAAGTCACCATTTATTGAGATGGATATTTGGTTTTATTGTGGTGGGAGTTGGGGGAATAATTAGGAGCTTAATTTTGAAGATGTCACCTTTGAGATACTTACTGAATAACTAGATGTTTAGTCAAGCTCAGGAACATGCCTAGTAGGTAACAATTTGTAAATCATAAGCATTTAAATGGAATTTAAAGCCATGAAGGCAGGAAATCACCTTTGTAGATAGGTCCAAGGGACAAGCCCTGAGGTATACCACTTTTAAATGATCATCCTGAGGAAAAAACAGCAAAGGAAACTGGGAAGGGGCATCCTAGGAGATAAGAAGGAACACAAAATTTAATATTATGGAAGTCAAGTAAATATTATGTTTAAAAGAGTAGTGGTAATAGTCAAATAAATGCCGCTGACAGAGTTTCAGAAGAAGGGCTGCAAACTTGAGAAAAGATAATATCTATTTAGAATGAAGGAAAAATATCACTAAGGAAGAACAACCCCTTCAAAACTATTTTCACAAATTTGTCTGCACAAGTATCTTTATTTTTTTCAGGATTGAAACTAAGCATTAAGAAGACAAGAGTGGATGGCCTTTGGGAGGTAGGGACTGGGTGATTTAGGACACCTGAGCAATCCTGAGTAAAGGCTGCAGTGCCCCAGGTCTAGGGACATCTTTCTGCCTTCATAGACTCCAGCCTTTGCCACAAACACGGCCCACCAAATTCTTGAGCAGGCATTCATGCTTGATTTCTCTCTTCTTAGTTTTTCTTATTTATTGGAGTTGAAAGTACCAGATCAGTACAATGTATCCTGTGTGTGGTAATAATCAATCCTAATGTCAGTTGGGCTAAAAAATATAAGCCTGAATCCTAGAACAAAATTAGCAGAAGTATTGCTCAATTCAAGTGATAGAGTACCATTCAGTGAATGTGAATTACTACAAATTGAAGAAAGAAAATTTAGACTTCTGCACAAAATATTTCCTTTTAAAGTTGCTTAGAATGAAAGTCTATTAGAAGCCAACTACACAATTTTCCACTTAGCCAGGAGATTATATATTTCTCCCCAGAATTTAAAATATGTTGCTATATTCTTAAGAGGTTACAAAGGAATAATTACCTGGCAACTTAAAACATGTAACTTAATGCTGAAATATGTTCTGAACTTCTTAACTAAGTAAGCTATAAGACATAAAACATTAAAATTTAAAATATGTGTCAAGTTTATATAAATACACATAATTTGGAAAGTAAGTTTTTATACTGCATTAATGAACCACTCTATTACAATATAAAGAATAGAAGTCATGATTGACAATAAATCAATTTGAATAATTTTTTGATTTATTGATAAATACAAAGAGATGAGAAAGTAGCAGAAGGAATAAGTATGATCAAGACAGGTAAGAGAGCTTCATATCTAGATTGCAGAAGTAGCATGTTTTTATGCTAATTGGAAACACATTATTAGGAAAGAAAACTGATGAGACAGGAGAGGGAGGAGAAATTTTAGAGCCATCTCCTTATGTAGGTAAATGGTGATGAAATCTAGTGCAAAAAAATATAAAGATTAGGTATACTCAAGAATGCAGACAGGAAATCACATTATACGTAAAGTAGGTTAGAAGTGTGGCGGTGGGATTACACAGAAGCTGTCTTTTGATTTTTTTCTGTTTTTCTTAGTAAAACTGGAAAGGCCATCAGCTGAGAATGAAAATGGGGGGATGTGAGGAAAGAGGTAAGATATAAAATAGTCATCAAAAACAAGGAAAGTAAAGAGACTAGGGAAATATAGTTATAAAACAGGTGAGTATGATAAAAAAAAAACAGGTGAGTATGAATCTGAAGTGAGACTGGTTAGCATAATTTGGTATTTTTCTATAGCTGAGTGTTCAGAACAAGCTGAGAATTCAATTTATCTTGTATTAGAGTATTGTCAAGTATAGAGGATAAAATAAAGGAAGGTCAAGGATTTGAGGATATATGCATAAGAGAATGTTATCTATAATATTATTTCAAAATGTATTAACAGAGCATAGGCACTTCCAAATTAAGATCTCTACATTTCACTTTCACACCCACATATATTTTAAGGCAATTGTCACATATATTTTAATAATACCACATTCATTTGTTTACTCAATAAAAATTGACTGAGTTTCAACTATTAAATACATACCAGAAAGTAAGTACTGACAAAAAAAAGATAAAATACACATTTTCTATTCTCAAAGAGCAAGTAGTTTAATAAGAAAGATAATTAGAACAAATAATATTTTAAAATCAACAATAAAATATATTACAAGAATTAGGACAACAGCAAGTACAAAAAGATGAAAGGAGCGGGAAACAGTACAAGTTAGCCTAGATGGACATGGAAGGCTCACCAGAAGAAGAAATACTTAAGGTGGGCTTTGAAAATTGGGTAAGAGTTAAGCAAAAATGATGTGAAAGAGACAGTCAAAGCAGAAGGAAAAACATGTCTAAAAAAATGAAGAAGATTAATAACGTTATATTTAGGAAAATCCACATGGCTCCATTTTTGGCACACAGGATATATGTGAGGGGAAGTTAGGATGAAGATAACAAGAGACTGACAGTTCTAGATGAATAAGATGGAATGTGTTCCACCCTATCGTTCCTGCCAATTATAACTAAAACTCCGGGTTAAAATATACAAAACTATCCCAGCCTCTGAATGGTAGAGAAAAGAAGATGGATTGGCTAGGGACCACAGGGCTCAAGCAGGTAACCCAGTAGTTCCCTTTTTTAGTGGGTTTTGTTAGCTTCTTTGTTTTTGCCTCCTGTATATCCTCACCTGAGTGCTAGGGCACCTACAACCTAGAAACACTAACAAACTCAGATGTAATAAAAAGCCCTTAGAAAATCCTGCCACTGTGAGAGACTGTGAGATGGAGACCTGCAGACCATACTCATCGTTTACTAAGGTGAGCAGAGGTAAAGCCTATGTTGCAATAGTAAACTATAGGTGAAGCTGTTTTGATTATCACCACCTTGCTCTAAAGCTGCC